GTTAAAACTTGTAGATGTGTGCAGTGTGTAAAGCAAGTTTACAGTTAAAACTTATAGATGTGTGCAGTGTGTAAAGCAAGTTTACAGTTAAAACTCGTAGTTGTGTGCAGTGTGTAAAGCAAGTTTATAGTTAAAACTCGTAGATGTGTGCAGTGTGTAAAGCAAGTTTATAGTTAAAACTCGTAGATGTGTGCAGTGTGTAAAGCAAGTTTACAGTTAAAACTCGTAGATGTGTGCAGTGTGTAAAGCAAGTTTATAGTTAAAACTCTTGGTTGTGTGCAGTGTGTAAAGCAAGTTTATTATTGAAACTTGTAGATGTGTGCAGTGTGTAAAGCAAGTTTATAGTTAAAACTCGTAGATGTGTGCAGTGTGTAAAGCAAGTTTATAGTTAAAACTCGTAGATGTGTGTAGTGTGTAAAGCAAGTTTATAGTTAAAACTCTTAGATTTGTGCAGTGTGTAAAGCAAGTTTATAGTTAAAACTCTTGGTTGTGTGCAGTGTGTAAAGCAAGTTTATTATTGAAACTTGTAGATGTGTGCAGTGTGGAAAGCAAGTTTATAGTTAAAACTTGTTGATGTGTGTAGTGTGTAAAGCAAGTTTATAGTTAAAACTTGTAGATGTGTGTAAAGCAAGTTTATAGTTAAAACTCGTAGATGTGTGTAAAGCAAGTTTATAGTTAAAACTCGTAGATGTGTGTAAAGCAAGTTTATTATTGAAACTTGTAGATGTGTGTAGTGTGTAAAGCAAGTTTATAGTTAAAACTCGTAGATGTGTGCAGTGTGTAAAGCAAGTTCTTGTGGATATTTAAGACTGCTAACTCCGCTATTTTAACAAGGACCCTGTTGTTGAAATTGTCAGATTAAGCTAGAGGTTCCCATAGTTATTTGGTGACCCTCACTGGAGATTTGCGTTTCCCATCTTTCTTAGAAACAGTATTGGTGCAGAGATTGCTGGATATTACTGTTTTATTTACAGTATTTTAGTGATTAACCAGTCAAGCTCCCCTGATGACCTTGTTGTACCCTCCAAGCAGGGGCATGCCCTAAAGTTTCAAAACCAATGGATTAAGCTGTGGTCTCAATATTAAGTAGCATAATACTGTACGTGGAGACTACATTAATTATTCTCTTTGGTTAATTTGAGGATTTTAACCACATTTCATTTTGTTCAATTGAGGCTTTAACTGCCTTGTTGTAAACGCGATATAACAATTGTAAATAACAAGATCACTCCTGACTAAAATGATGGATACCCGTGGTCAGTGATAGATTGGTGGGATTCCTGTGGTCAAAGATAAGTTGTAGGCATTTCAATAGAATGAATTGTACATTTGAGAAGGAGAATATCTTAATACTTGAGTGATTAAAACAGTTCAGTTTATTGTAATTTTAGTAGCTACATGGTAAGTCTGTGTGTGCTTACAAAAACTAAAAAATATGGTTCTGACACCTGTCGTGGGCAGAGCACAGAAAGCCCATTGTGTACCTTTGTGCTTAACAACACACCAACCATCACTGAACATTTTCTTTAGTCGTGTTTAGATGATGTAATTTGGATCAATTCTGTGTTTAATTTTAATTGTAGGAATAGTCATTCAACTGGAAAAAAATATATATGTGCCGAGACTTTTTAGAAAAACGTAATGGTTTAATCCTACTGAAACTGTATGAGCAAAGTGTCATTTGTTTTTCTCTACAAAAGTAGAATTGCTTCTCTGTTACACTAATTTATAATAATTAGTTCCCAGTACTTATTAGGTAATTATTTCTGCTGTAATTAAATGTAAACAAATTAAATATTTAATAACTATGTTTAGACTATACATTCCTTTTTTAATTTACTTTTTACCCTTACATACATAATTTATATCTTTATTTTTGTTTGTATAAATCCTTACTAAAAGTGAACTGAGATTTGTGAAAAACAAACTGTACTTTTTCAGGTTAGAAGAATATTTAATGACTGGACTAAGAACTGCCAGAGGGATAAATAATCGGGTGAGTCATTTTTAATATTCACTTAGAACAGGGCTGTTCAACCTTTGACCAATGATAAGCCGGAAGTCATTTTTACATTCACTTAGAAAGGGGGCCGTTCAACCTTTGACCAATGAAAAACCAGACAATAAGTAATGAGGTTAACGATTTCAACAATTGAAGTATAAATTCTATCACTATGTAATTATTGAAAGTGAGATAAAGTATGTTTAGAGAGCTGCACACAGGCCAGACACCAGTTGACATACGACATTAAAAACACCCAGAGGAAAACAAATTGGAAATTCATTTTCAAAACAAAGCCAGTAATGCTTTAAAAGTACATATTTGTTTATACAGTAGTAATAAAAGTACAGCAAAAGCTTGAAAACATTGTATAGTAGGATTAATTATACTGTTACATATCTGCTTGTTTGTTAATTTCCGGTATAAATTCTTTCCGAGGAACTTCAGCGATACAAGTCCTTTCTTAATTAAAACTAGTTTATTCTTTCTCGATACAACTTTGTAATACACAGAATTTCCACCGTCACTTTAAACTTAACAACCTTTATAACACACACTACAAATCGCAGTATTTCACACACTTTACTTACAGTGGCTACTGTTCGCTTGACTCAGTTATCTGTCTCTTCACTCTATCTGCATATCTCTGCAATTGCGCTGGTTTTTTCTCGCCAGGCTTATATACTAAGAAAGAGGGCACCTGGCAAACACTCAGACATTCACGGGGTTCCTCGATAAGTCATGATCATTCTAGAAACTCCAGCGAGCATGCTCCCAGCGTCGCGTGACTTCCGCTGTCGTAACAATACATACAAAGCTTGAAAACATTGTATTCTAGGTTTAATTATATACACAAAGCTTGAAAACATTGAGAACATGTTGAATAAATACTAATTTGAAAGAGTTTGATTTTGTAAGTGTATTTGTATTTTTAAAGAGACCATTTGTTTTTCTTCTAATAAAATAAGAGAAAACATCCTACGTTTTCAGTAATTTATACAAAGATATTTATCAAGAGTGTAAAGTACACCCAGAATTTCAATTACATGAAAATGAAAAATATTAGATAACAATACCAAACTTTATTCTGTAAAAATTTAATGCATATGATTGAAACGTTAACCATTTATTTAAATGTCGATGTCAAGCAATGGTGTATATTTTCTGGTGGAGCCACTCTTACAGATGTACTGAGTCACTCGGTGCTACTAGAGGAACACGTAAGAAACAAGTTGTTACAGTTTGATGGAAGGTATGTACATTTAGCTTGGCTTTCTTACAAATGTAGAATAACTAATTATGAATTCTGTTGGCTGCTACACAAAATTATTTATTCTTCTGTAGCATATGATTGAAGAAAGCTCTGCTGAAAACAGCAGTTTACTCTCAAGTAGAGAGCAAAAAAAAATTAAGTGGGAAAAACTTTGCGATTTGCCTTCTTCATATAGAGTTATTCATTTTTTGGTCATTGTCTAACTAACAATGATATAAATTACTGTTCAACCCATTAATAAGTTTATGACATTAGTAAAATTATATTAAGCTTAAATCTGCTCTATTCAAATTAACAGTGCCGTTTCCTGTATCGTTGCTTAAATCATGAAATGCTTTTTTTTTGTTTTATCCAAATTTGTATGAGAAGTAAAATCTTTATTTTGAATTATAAAACTTCTGCCTGTTGGCTCATTTTTGACTGTCTCGGATACTATCAAGGCACATGATGTCTGTTTTGTTGTTTACATTAATGTTTGTATTTCCCAAAGTGTACTGACCAGAACATGCTTCTCATTTGTCTTCCTATTTTATGTTGTAACATGACTGTAGAAACTTGATACACTTTCAACACTAGTCTTATCATCAACTCAACTGTATCATTATCATTGTTTAACTGGTATAGTTCTTCGTCTGTCTATAGAAACTTGATACACTTTCAACACTAGTCTTATCATCAACTCAACTATGTCATTATCATTGTTTAACTGGTATAGTTCTTCATCTGTCTATAGAAACTTGATACACTTTCAACACTAGTCTTACCATCAACTCAACTATGTCATTATCATTGTTTAACTGGTATAGTTCTTCGTCTGTCTATAGAAACTTGATACACTTTCAACACTAGTCTTACCATCAACTCAACTGTGTCATTATCATTGTTTAACTGGTATAGTTCTTCGTCTGTCTATAGAAACTTGGTACACTTTCAACACTAGTCTTATCATCAACTGAACTGTATCATCATCATTGTTTAACTGGTATAGTTCTTCGTCTGTCTATAGAAACTTGGTACACGTACAACACTAGTCTTATCATCAACTCAACTGTATCATCATCATTGTTTAACAGGTATAGTTCTTCATCTGTCTATAGAAACTTGATACACTTTCAACACTAGTCTTATCATCAACTCAACTGTATCATTATCATTGTTTAACCGGTATAGTTCTTCATCTCTCTATAGAAACTTGATACACTTTCAACACTAGTCTTATCATCAACTCAACTATGTCATTATCAATGTTTAATGAGTACAATGCTTCTCTGAGCGAAGCAATAAACATTTTGAAATATTGCATTTAAAGTCCTTACACATAAATTTTTACTTGATTAGATAATCCAGAATGATGCTGTAATCTAAATGGCATATCTTGTAGAGAAGTAACCTTTTGGTGACTGGCTAATGATTTGATTTCCTGACTGAGTTACTGCTGCTCAGCTTCTGGCATTACTAGTACTGATGTCCAAGATGGTCAGCATCTGACCTTGGGATATAAAAACACTTTAGTTCCAGAAGTGTACTTTGAAGTCCAGAATTAGAGAAGATTCTTTCTTATGTTTTAATGCAGGATCTTAGCTGATGTTGTGTAGCTCAGGTTTTTCCACAACCACTTGATATTTCCATCCATCCTTAGGTATCATCCAAGACACCCTAATGGTTTTAGTTTCAGTTTGGCTGTTTGGAGTCTCACGGTATCATCCAAGACACCCTAATGGTTTTAGTTTCAGTTTGGCTGTTTGGAGTCTCACGGTATCATCCAAGACACCCTAATGGTTTTAGCTTCTGTTTGGCTGTTTGGAGTCTCAGGTATCATCCAAGACACCCTAATGGTTTTAGTTTCAAGTTTGGAGTCTCACGAGAACATACTCCATATGCATCCACATAGCAGACATCAAAAATGAATCCATTGTTTATTTAGAATAAACACAATTTTCCTTATAGTTCTTCCTGATGCTAAAGGGTGGCTGGTGAACGAAACAAACCAAAAGGTTTCAACCAAATCATTAAGTCCTTTGTTGGTACTAAAGAAAATCTCATCCTCTTTTCTTCTTCTTGTTATTAAACTATGCCACTATAAACAGATTCATGACATCAAACCTTTGCTACTATTAATCTTGGATATAAGAAAGTTATCAGTACTATACTTGTCTGCCGGATATTCCAAAAGACCGTGGCATTCCTTCTGTCCTTACTACTAAGACCATTGAAGGGATTTGCATCTGTTTAGTAGCTGAATTATATCATATATTGGAAAAGTATAACTTTGTGTATATTAATTTGATTGTGTCTTTAAAAGTAAATTGTTTGTACTTATTGTTCACGTGGCTATTTTAAGTGAATTTTAATTAGCAACCAATTTGAGTTGGTTTGATATTATACTAAGTATTGTCTTTTCATGAATTCCATTATTTTCATTTTGTCCTATTGTAAACTGACCACAGAATTGTGGAAATTATTTCAAAAATGTATTTCTTTTCTCTGTATAAAACTCTATTGTATGCCCAATAGCACCCGGGCTTAAGAAATGTCCTGTTCTGGCATATGTTTTATTGAAGTAAAATAGTGTTAGTAACATATTTTTTGATATTTCCTATTTTTCTACAGGAATCTTAGAGCGACTGCTGCAGGAATGATAGTTGCCGATAGTCTCACCCTAGACCTTATTCCTAGTCTCCAAGAGTATTTTAATAAACAATCATCTCTTAGTCACGGCTCCAAGTTTACTAGATAGTCACACCCATGATGCTGTGCTTACTGTTCAAGAAGATCTGTAATGAGATGATCTTCTTAAGAACATAAATTGAGGTCTTCAGTGTTAATGTTAACATTACAGTTTGGTGAATTGTTTAACAGTATTCCTTAAGTAATAACTTCAAGTATCTTAGTTTTATAATGCCTAAAAGTATATTTCTGAATCAAACTCTTCTCAGAAATGCTTTAATTGTAACTGGTTATCCAAAAATTTGCCATCTGGTGTCTGTTCAACTTATATGTGTATTATGTAATAAATATGTTGGAGATTTACCACAAAGTAGTGTGTATCTAATTCTTTGCAAAAATAGTTATCTACCAAATGTGTCCCTGAATGTTTTCATGAAGTTATTTCTCTGTAATGTATAAACAAATTACAGTACCATAAGGAATCTGTCTGTTACACATACATACACACACACAGTTTAATCCTGAAATTAAGTAGTAATCTGATTATATAATAGCTACTGTTGTAGTGATACACCATCAACAGGTCATCCAACCTGCAGTGATACATCATCAACAGGTCATCCAACCTGCAGTGATACATCATCAACAAGTCATCCAACCTGCAGTGATACATCATCAACAGGTCATCCAAGCTGCAGTGATACACCATCAGCAGGTCATCTGTCCTGAAGTGATACACCATCAGCAGGTCATCTGTCCTGAAGTGATACACCATCAACGGGTCATCCGTCCTGCAGTTATACACCATCAACAGGTCATCCATCTTGCAGTGATACACCATCAACAGGTCATCTAACCTGCAGTGATACACCATCAGCAGGTCATCTGTCCTGAAGTGATACACCATCAACGGGTCATCCATCCTGCAGTTATACACCATCAGCAGGTCATCCAACCTGCAGTGATACATCTTCAACAGGTCATCCGTCCTGCAGTGATACACCATCAATGGGTCATCCATCCTGCAGTGATACACCATCAACAGGTCATCCGTCCTGCAGTGATACACCATCAACAGGCCATCCATCCTGCAGTGATACACCATCAGCAGGTCATCTGTCCTGAAGTGATACACCATCAACGGGTCATCCGTCCTGCAGTTATACACCATCAACGGGTCATCTGTCCTTAAGTGATACACCATCAACAAGTCATCCGTCCTGCAGTTACACACCATCAACAGGTCATCTGTCCTGAAGTGATACACCATCAGCAGGTTATCTGTCCTGCATTGTTACACCATCAGCAGGTTATCTGTCCTGCATTGTTACACCATCAGCAGGTCATCCGTCCTGCAGTGATACACCATCAACGGGTATCCGTCCTGCAGTTATATACACACACACATATATATATCTTTATGTGGCTTGTAGCTAATCAAAAAATATGCTAGCTAAGAATATTGATCATAAACAACTGATCAAAAATAAAGTAACTTAAGTTACTGAAACTAATTCTGTATAACACAGATATTTGTCTAAAAGGTGTAACCATAACTTGGACATTATACCTGTATTTTTTGGACAGAAATAGTTTGAGATTTTGAAATTTCTTGAAGATTTTTTGGTCATGGAAAAGGAATATATTGGTAAAGAGAAGTAGTCGAAAAATTAAGGCTGAAAGGGCATGCTTGTTTGGCAATGTGGATTCAAGCCCGCATGTTACAAGCCAAATACTATCACCACCAGGCCATTTTATGACTACATATGTATTCATATCAAACACTTCTAATCAAAATAATTAAGCAACAAGGATCAAAACTACACATTAACTGAGTTATGAATATAGCTAATTTAATATACCATTCTTATTGGGATTATTACCTTCATCTTACTGTTTGTGCAACCTACAGTGTGGGGGTCTTCACTTATAGTGCATGATACATGGTGGTATCCATCATGGTTCTGGCTGCTCCTGTATCTTTACAGGTACATACCAAGCACCATTCAGAGCTGGGCTGACTACCACACTCTGGCATCTGCTGTGATCCTCTTGAAACAAGAAAGCTTGGGCTTTGTTAGTTTCCCAGAATTGAAATGATAGCAGCTACAGCCCACCTTCACTTGCCATGACTAGGTGTTTAGTTTATCCCACTGCCTAGCAAGATATGGGCAGTTTGCATGAAAGTTCCCCTGCTGCCCACAAACAAAGCTGATGCTCTGTCCTCCCATCTGGGGTGAAGTCTAGGCACAGACATCATTGTTACCAGCAAAAACACTATAGGAAGGCCACAGTACCTCTGCCTTTTGCTGGAAACCAGACTGTTCGTGCTACAGTACCAGCTGCTGATTTGGTCTTGGCAAAGCTTAAACGTGAAGAAACATAACCATTTCAAAAGGATGACTTGTGTTAGGACTTGCCACCACAGCTACTGCTGTAAACTTTATCCTTTTCTACAAATTTGAAGTTACTGCTTTGAACATCATTACCACAAGTAATGTTTGTTAGGTAGCAACTATCTGTAACCCCCAGATGGTGCCTCATGGTCTCACTAATGTTTGTTAGGTAGCAACTATCTGTAACCCCCAGATGGTGCCTCATGGTCTTACTAATGTTTGTTAGGTAGCAACTATCTGTAACCCCCAGATGGTGCCTCATGGTCTCACTACTGTTTGTTAGGTAGCAACTATCTGTAACCCCCAGATGGTGCTTCATGGTCTCACTAATGTTTGTTAGATAGCAACTATCTGTAACCCCAGATGGTGCCTCATGGTCTTACTAATGTTTGTTAGGTAGCAACTATCTGTAAGCCCAGATGGTGCCTCATGGTCTTACAAATGTTTTTTAGGTAGCAACTATCTGTAACCCCAGATGGTGCCTCATGGTCTCACTAATGTTTGTTAGGTAGCAACTATCTGTAACCCTCAAATGATGCCTCGTGGTTTCACTTTGCAGACCTTCCATGAACTTGTCAAATAGAATGTATTCTCAATCTACAACAGCCATTGAAGGGTATACCATCACATGCAATCAGCAGAGATTATCAGTGTAAGCACCCAAGTTTTTGGAGGAAGCCCTTCTTTGAGTTTTTAATTCAGCACAAAACATCAGTGCAACTAGACCATGATTGCATTTCAGTTCCAAAGCTGTAACTCCCTCCATCAAGGCTTATATCTTCTAGCTCAGAATTAGGCATTGCGTTGCCTGCTCCAAAGTTCACCCATTCCAGACAGTAACCTGCTTGAAATGGTTCAAGTCCTCCTTGACTGTGCTCATGAAAATTGGGAGATAGGTCTGTTTCACTTCCATCAGGTTTATCCATGGTTTTGGTCTAAGCCTCTCACATCTGGACTCGTAGTCCATACTTGACTGTAAAGTCCTATAAGTTGGGTTTACAGTGAAGTAGACTTAAGCTACAAACCCTTACACTTTGAAGAGTATTGGCTCTCGACTCTAGCGTCACAGAATGGCGAGTTTCTGGAGATAACTTTTTCAGTGGCCCTACACAAGGCAGAGTTCCGTCTCAGGACGGATTTCCATCAGGTAAAATAAGTTAAACTAATAAAATAAAATAAATATGACTTATTAATTTCAACACCCAAGTGTAAACTACTTGTACCTGATAATGACAAAACCTTGTCGAAACGTTGTACATTTGCTGTTTACATTACCCATTCAAGCGTCTCCAAGCGTTATCATTCAGTCCATATAGGAGAGAGATTGATCTTTTATACACAAAACGAAGTCAGGCCGTTCAGAGGGCACACATTACTCAAGTGACCCCAAACCACTTTTGCTTCAGCACAAGGGTAACTATCCCCCTGGGTATTACCCGATCCAGCTGTCTGTTCTGAGAGACATCACGAGTGAAGTTACAACTTTACAAGAAAATACGGTTAATGATTGTGTATTAACTGGAAGACAGAAAGTGGAAGGTGAGAACTCTTTCAACCAGATAGCATGGAAATCCATGATTATCGTATGATGATAATTATAATATATTAATATATTTACAGGTAGTTCTATCAGCCTCCATATTCGTTTTATAAAAATCAAAAGGCGCAAAGAAAGTTCATTAGTCACAAATCAAACACTTGATGTTTTTGTAATAAAAGTTTGAATTTATCAATCAGATTAAGCATTTACTGTTTGGAGGTCGAGATTATAATGCAGTAAGGTATTTCATGAAGATATTTACAGACAATTGGATTCAATATAAAAACACAGGACTGATTGTTTAGAACAGATTATTGGATTCAATATAAAAACACAGGACTGATTGTTTAGAACAGATTATTGGATTCAATATAAAAACAGGACTGATTGTTTAGAACAGACAATTGGATT